GGGAACCAATTCAGGAGCGTGGCAGGCCTGAGTCGCTGCCGGTTGTGCAACCCAGGTCTGACTTCCACTGCCAGTTTGGCCTGGTTCGGCCAAACCAGCAGCAACCCACCTGTGGTACAAATAGCAAATCACTTCCCTTCAACTGTTTTCAGCAGGAACATCTGACAGTTCCTAATCTGTTACTAAATCTCCAATAGCTATTTCTCACCAAATAAAAAGTAGAAGTATTTAACAAACCTCTTTTTTTTTTTTTTTTTAAAAAAGGATAATGTAATCTTTCCAAGCAGTCGCAAAAAGAAACTGCAGAAGTTTTACTTATCATTGAGTCATGGTGGTGCAGCGGTTAGAATGCAGGATTGCAGGCTGACTCTGCCCACAGCCAGGAGTTTCATCCTGACCGATTCAAGGTTTGACTTAGCCTTCTATCTTTCCAAGATTGGTAAAATGAGGAGCCAGATTGTTGGGGTCGATATGCTGACTCTGTAAACTGCTTAGAGAGGGCCGTAAAAGCACTGCAAAATGGGATATTAGTCTAAGTGCTATTGCTGACAAATTAAGAGAAAAATGTTTCTTCTACCAAACAAACTGGGACCTAGCTTCTCCATCACTGCAAAATAGTACCACATGTATCCTTCTGGTCTTTTGAGACAGTCAAAGGAATATTTACCTACACCTCTCATTGGATGACCCACATCACTCATCACTCCCATTTGCCTACTACACCCAGACTGTGTTCATACCTCAATGGAAGGTTCACTTAGAGTTGAAGAAGGAGACAGGGTCATAGGGCTAGAAGGGCTTTCAGGATTAATCTCCGTTTGTTCATCTCTAAGGTTCCCCTAGAAATAAGAAAGAAAAAAAACTTGTAGTGGCAGGAGAGGGCTCTTTAAGTAATAGGCACAGCATTATTTCAAATTAAAGGCAGTGGAACGGAACACATTTTATTGTAATGCTTTCTTTTTAGCCAGTCATGATGATCTCATAGTCCTATTTCCCAACTGAATTGTTAACTGCTATCCCACCACAGCTTCTCATAAGGGACTGGTCAGTTCTGTCTGTGTAAATACACTGTGTCCATTCTTCTCAAGACCATTGTTCTCTGTATCAAGGTTCATTTAAATTCTCCCCTGAGCTGCTGGCAACAAGGTCAGAAAAAATCTTGTTAACATACAATACAAGGATAAGAAGTTGATTCAAAAGAATTTTTCTTGTACAATTCTGAGCTGTGGGTGCAGTAGCAATTTCTCACTTTCCCTGGGAACTTTTCGTTCGTTTCGTTTCGTTTATTGGTTTTGTATGCCACACACTTCCGAAGGACTCCGGGCGGCTCACAATGAGGGGGAATGTTTCTTTATTTAACAAGGAAGCTGTGTGGGCTATTGATTCTGTTTTGACCAATCACTTGGAGGGCATTATAGAATTAGAAAGTGAAACAGAATGAATGCCGCATAAATCAATCTGGAAAAAGGGTGACAATCCCATGAGTCCATGCCCAGCAGCTATTCTTTCACTCATCTGCTAACTTCATCTCTCTTTTTTAAACCAACTGGCCAGTTCAGCTTTTTGGAAAGAAGTGAATAAACCACCAGCAGCACAATTCCTCAAGCTAAGTTAGAGCAAATTCCCCTTTCATGTTGCTTGCCTTAGGACCAATAAATTTGTTATCCACATGGGAGAGCATTTTCTTCACTTGTTCTTACACCAGTGAGTGTATTCAGATGCTGAACATGACCAAGTACTATTACAATGAGCCACTCCCTATTCAGTTCTTCTACTTCCCCTATTCATTAGAGTTTATCATGCCACCATAAACTCTAAACTATGATTCATGATTAGAAAAAGCAAGACAGTTTGATCAATTCTGGCTAAAGTCTTGCTTGTTTCCACCAAATATAGTTAAGATTAACCACAATTTGTTCAGATTTGAATGATAAGCAAATAGTTCATTAAAATCTCCTTGCAGCAGCCTTCTGTTGTTCTCGTAGCACCAAACTTTCAGCTGATGTACACAATTTAAGCAGTCTATTTTTGGTAAAATGCTATGCATGTATTGAGATTTTATTAAACTTTGAAATTTCTGGGAAAGAGCTAAGCTGGACAAATTAGGAGATGGATTTCTGGGAAAAAGGAAAATTGAAAGACTGAAAGATCTTTAATTCTGTTGAAATGTTGCCCCAAGGAATATTTGCATTCCAGAGTCTTTTAAAACAAGAGATTCTCCCTCTGAACCACATGGGTGGTTCAAAAATGTGAGATATAAATAAATGAATATATAAATATAAATAAATATACTTCTATATTTGTTCTATAGATGTATATGAAATGATTCTGAAAGTGATTATTGCATTATATCATATGGCATATTCATCTGTGGTGCAGAACAGCAACTATTGGCTTGCAATTAACATTCAGACCAACTGGGGGGAAATGACATTGAATGACATAACTATCCTGTTTACCCATAGTCTGGCAACATCCTCATTCTGTCTCTGAATGTATATTCATTTTTTTTAAAAAAAAAAAAGCCCAGCCCTTTTTAAAAAAACACGTTTCTAATGAGGTTTTCCTTCTTCTCCGACTTTAATTAGGCTTTGTTTTTTCAAAGCAGACTGGAAGTAGCTTGGCCTTTTAAAAGATGTGAGATTCCACCCATGGGGTGAAGAATGGGCCATTCTATTCAGTGACAAGAGGCAGGCTCTGAAATGAGTGACAGGCCTTCCAAGGCATCGGCCATCCCTCTCCTCAGACTGCTTTTCTCTACAGGATCATCAAGAGCAATGATTTCACAGCCCACCTTCCTTTACCAATTTAGGAAGAGTTCACCCTTTTGATCTGGCAGCCAGCCAAGGGCTGCTCTGAGCAGTTTGCACAGGGAAGGTTTTTTTTTAAAAAAAGGAGAAAGAAAATATTTTACAACTATGGGAACACAATCTTGGCATGTGCAATGCTTCTGTATTATCTCCAATGTGAATGTATTGGAAAACTAGGGCCAACAATGTAGACTCAGAAGGCATGAGAGTAGTTCAGTAATCTGTTGATGCTCCACCACCACCAATAACAACACATATAGAGCAGAGAAATCTGCAATGTTGAATGTTGATTCTAACACATCTATCAAGGAACCATGTGATTGGCAGTAATTTTTACCTTCTCCACATCACCATTGGCAACTGGTTCTGGTAAAAGACCTAAGAGGGAGAAAGAACAGAACAAACAAACAAAAAGGAAGTGAATACATTTTATTCTTCTAGCAGGATTTCTACAACCCATTGCAATACTACTTAGCATATCCCGTAACCACTAACAGGTTGACTCAAGGATCATTGCTTCCTCTGGGATCTCCCAATTTTGCTACAGAAATATATCCCATCATCAGAACCCCACCCCCTCTCTCTCACATGCACACACACACACACACACACACACACACACACACGTACATAAAGAAACACACCCTTCTCTGCAGTCACTTCCACAGAGCAGATCCAATATGGGGCAAAAATTGACAACTTCTTTGTCTTTGGAATTGGTTAAGGAGCAGGACAGATAATATGTGAGGGGCTCAGTGCCTAAGACACTGAGCTTGTCAATCAGTAAGGTCAGCAGTTCAGCGTTTTGAATCCCTAGTGCTGCGTAACAGAGTGAGCTCCTGTTTCTTGTCCCAGCTTCTGCCAATCTAGCAGTTCGAAAGCATGTAAAAATGCAAGTAGAAAAAATAGGAACCACCTTTGGTGGGAAGGTGACAGAGTTCCATGCTCCTTCGGCGTTTAGTCATGCTGGCCACATGACACAGAGATGTCTTCAGACAGCGTTGGCTCTTTGGCTTTGAAACGGAGGAGCATCATCCCCTAGAGCTGGGAACGACTAACACATATGTGCGAGGGGAAACTTTACATGTGTGTGTGTGTGTATGTATTGGATGGATGGATGGATGGGTGGGTGGATATATTTCTCTGCACACTTTTATCCAGGGACCCAAGAAACCTTACATGGGGACCATTAGGGATTAAGGGGTCAAATTAGTACCTTCCAGTTGCTTAAAATATCCATTTGGTCCTTAGATCCCTCCAAAACTGGCCCAGTATTATGGTTTTCAGTGAGTGCCTTGCACCATTACAATCTCTCACAATTTTGTGTGAGGCAAATAGTACCAGCACCGCCTCTGGCCTACATACCATACAGGTACGTGTGAATTGCAAAACCATCTAGGCAGTATCAACCACAGGTACTGGTATTTTCCCTTCTCTGTCGCCCAATAGGCAGGTGATCAGATTGAAACACCGATGCAATTATTGCTGCCTACATACAGAGATTTGCTACATTTTCAATTATAGCACAGCTGCCTTCAAGGAGAACTGGGAACAAGTGTGGTTTTATTCCTGCCTTCATGTTATTTTCATAGAAACTCTGGAAAGCAGAGAGAGATCATGGAGATCACCCAGTGAATATTGTAGCAAATCCATATCCCCCCCCCAACCTAACATGGACGCTCCCATTTCATGTGTCCAACACACTCAAATTTTGTACATTGCAATTTTAACCAACTGTAACAAATAAATGCATGGAATTTCATGGATTTTATGCAGAATCTTTTCTATAATTTTATAGAAAACATCTGGGGCAGGGGCCGCAAGGCACAAACTGAAGAGGTATATCATGAGCCAGGGACTGTAGACCAAGCACAATTCTCCCAAGCACAATCTCACCTTGCTGACACTGCTTTTGTTTACTGCACACCTCATGGGGTACCCCAAAAGTGAGAATAGGAAGAGCTGCTTTAATGCAGTGACAGGTGAGTGAACAGCATTCTGCTGTGGAGCAACAGCAGCAAGATATTAATTTCCATCCATTTCCCCAAGCTTTCTTGGGGTTGATAGCAGCCATCTAATGTGTAGGGCAATGATTTGGGATGGGCAGGTGTTCATACCTGCCAAACCTTTCACAAGACCTGCATGCCCGAAGATTTGGATTTCAGCTTTATTACCAATGCTATTTTGACCAGAAATGACTGTCTGCCAGCAGTTCTAAAACTCAACCGTGTAGTTGTTAGGACACTTTAATAATGCAACGATGAAACAGAACCTTCTATTGCAGATTATTTTATTTCTGCAAGTTGTGTTTCGCTTTGGTTCCCAGCTCCATAAACTTCAAAAGGTTCATGAATATAAGCCAACCTTATGTAAGAATAGGAACTATTTACATACACCATAAACCTTGAGATCATCTTTTCACTTCTTCTAAGTAACTGCTGATGCCAAATCCTGTGCCTGCCCCAAGATTTTTCTTGCTTAACTCCATCTAGTCTTTTATCAGAAATGCTGTTGTAACCTAAATCTTCCTCTGAACATCCTTTATGCACTCACAGAGTTAGTACTCCTTTACAGTATTAATATTTTTCTCTTCTTTTTGCATCAGATTTAAATTTTTGAGATCTAACATTTGACACTTTTCAATCGCTGGCCTTATTGTTTTATGGCATTAAATCAAAAGAAAAACCGTGGCTGAATAATTAGCTGTTTCACAAATGTTGAATTGAGTTCAACTCTTGGAAAGTCATTAGAGGAAGTGACTCAGGGTCTAGAACTGCAAGTCTTTGGTGCAACAGCCGCTTTGCATGCTGGGGGCTTCCAGGTACTGTTCCTGGCATTGCCAAGAAAACAGTGAAGTAGCAAAGGATGGGGAATTCTGCATGGAGAGCCACTGCTAAGCAGGACAATTACTCTCCATCAAACTAAGGCTTGATATGGTTTAAAGCAACTTTTCTGTGCATTCTTGAATGCTAACTGGGTAAGTGGGAGTAAGAACACACAAACCCAATAATCTGCAAAACAACCTGCAAAATTCAGAATGATGCCTTAATGAAAGGGTTGAAAACTGCAAACGCAAGTTGTTGAATTACATTTGTGATATATATTCAAAGAAGCCTGTTAAGACCTGGTTGCTATGATACCAACACAGTGGCCAGATTTATATATTACACTACAGGCTGCCCCCCCCCCCCTATATTTAACTAGGGCACAAACAGAGGAATACACAGGACCTGATCCAGAATCACGATATTAACCTAGTCCCTTTTCGTGTGCGTGCTGTCACAACAGATACACGAAAGGGATGGCACTTGTATGGCAACAGCGTAATAATGCATGTCATTTAACTCCTCCCCCTGACCGACATCTGGCAGGGGAATCATCAGATTCAAAGCCAGGACTCAGAGCGGAAGTGGAACCACCATTGTACGTGACCATCAGTTACCACAAGTCAGGAGAGGAAGAGAAAAAATGTTAGCTCAGCAGTGGGGAAAGTTGCAATGAGCTGCATTTCGTTTGGTTTAAAAGTAAAGTATGAACCAGGCCATTAGGGCTTCTGCAGCAATCCTCATTTGGCATCATGTGAGAGTTCAGCCAAGGTGCCCCAGTTGTTCAACTGGTTTCCACAAGTCTCCAGATTCTGTCAATAAATCCTCACCAGTGACACAGTGGAAATTATGCCCTCAGTCCAAGAACTGAAGAAAGTCTCTTGTTTGTGATCATCTACTTTGGATCATCCAAATATCTGCTTCCTGATCTACTTCCTCTCCCTTTCTAAAAATTCATCTCCGCTCCCCCAATGTAATAACTTTCACTCAAGGCCAGCTCTAAGTCCCAACCATGTTTGCTGAGCAGCGGGAAGAATCCATTTCTTTCTGGGATTGGACACTTTGCTTTTGTCGTCAAAGAAAAAGAAAAGGCAGTTAGCTGGCGTTGGAGTTGTGGTTTAGCAACAATCACAGAGATAATTCTGAGGTGTACTTGCCAAAGACACAAACAATGCACAAGGACTGAAGGAAATGGCAGTTGGTGGCTGGTGCCACAACAATGAATCTTTTGTTTATAGGGAAGGAGAGAAAAAACATGTCCCCATGTTGCCTTAAACAAAAAACTAGACCGAGCTGGAAGCCTGCCTAACTCTTCAGACCCTGGATCCTCTTCCAATTATAGCATGTTGCACATAATTGCAAAATATTAGGACACCTTTAAGTAAAACAAATGACCATCTTTCATAACCCAAGTATAGGTTTGGCTCTGGTTTAGGTGAGACAAAGCTCAGAGCCAAACTAGAAGGGCAGACAGTCTCCATCCAGAATAGGCAAGTTCTCAGGAACAAAGAGAAGGTCAGCTGGACACAGGGTGGCTATCAGCTAAGAGAGAATGTGATTTCTTCCCACCTCCTTGGGTCTTGCATGTCGCACTGCAATATCATCTGCAACATCATCAAGAGTCATTGTGGCACAAGTGAGAGAAACAGCAGCAATAATATCGCCACCTCTGTAGGTTCATTCCCCAGATGTCAAGCCGCATAGAGTCGCCTCAGTGAGATGGGCAGCATAGATGTTTGAAAGGAGGGAGAGAAGGAGAGGGAGAGAGAAGGAAAGAAAGAAGCAGGAAAGAAGGTAGGTAGGTAGGTAGGTCAAGATAAGCTGCTGAAAATGCAGAGGTCCTACACTAGAAGGCATGAATGTGTGAACCTGGAATGTGATTCAAATATGGATAACTTGAGAATTGGGCTCCTTACACTGAGAGGAACAAAACACTAAGATTAGGAACAAATTGTCTATGAAGATTCTTAATTATTTAGGTCATGGTTGTCCCAAGGAAGCTTTTTCCAGAAACCAACTGGACTTTCGGGGCGGGGTGTGTTTTCTTTGAAAATGTTTCACTTCTTATCCAAGTAGCTTCTTCAGTTTTGAATGGAGAACTGTTAGAACTGAAGAACCTTCTTGGATGAGAAGTGAAACATTTTAAAAAGAAAAAAAAAAACCAAGAAAGTCTAGTGGCCTTTTGGAAGAAGCATCTTTGAGACATTAGGAACAAGCTTTGCAGTAGACACAGAGCTTAAACATTCTGTGCCCCTGGAAAAAGGGGAAACAAAAAACCTTTGGGAAGAATCCAGAACTTTCAGAAGCTCATTCAGCTTGCTCCTTAGCAATCTGTTGCCTGAGCTCTGGGCAATTGGCAAGCACAGCCTAAGGCTACAGACATTCTCCTTGCAGCCCATCCCGTCCAGAGGTGGGTTGCTCCCGGTTTTACTACTGGTTCGCTGCCCTTGTGCGCCAGATGTGTGCTATGCGCGCGCGTGCAGTTCAATGTAAACTGTTCTTCACACATGCGCAGAACAATTTACAGTGAAAGGACGTTGGTCTTACCTGAACGTCTATTTTCAGAGTGGGAGGAGGGAGTGGTCACGTGTGGGTTTTATCTTAGCCTGATTGGTCCAAAGACTGAGAGCGAAGCTTTAAATACTGGTGCCTTCCAATCCTCGCCCAGATTCTCGAAGTTGAACGGTATAACTGAAACAACAAAAAAACAACCACAACAAACCCCGGGAACACCCGGGCCCTCCCCTTGGCCCCAATGAACAAAACTCAGTGCGGGTCGTGACCACTCCCTCCCCCACTCGAAAATAGACATTCAGGTAAGACCAACGTCCTTTTTCCAGAGGAGGGGGAGGGAGTGGTCATGTGTGGGACATACCCAAGCTAAGGTCCCAGGGCGGGAGAACAAGAACCACTAGGGTCCAAAGGGAGCCTCAGCCGCCACCCCCTGCAAGACTCTCCAACCGAAGGACGCATCCGCAGACGCGAAAGCATCCAGACGATAATGTCGGATGAAAGATGTCGGAAAAGCCCAAGTGGCCGCTCGACAGATGTCCTAAAACAGGGCCCTCGTGGCTCACGCCGCCGTGGTCGCGGCACTCCTAGTAGAATGGGCCGTGATCCCCGATGGGGCCGGCCGACCCAAAGCCCCGTAAGCCTCCACAATGGCCTGACGTAGCCAACGGCCAATGGTAGCCAAAGACACTCTCGATCCCAGCGACCCCGGCTGGAAGGAGACAAACAAGGCCTCCGACCTACGGACCTCCCCGGTCCGCCGGAGGTAGATTTGCAAAGCGCGGCGGACATCCAACCGATGCCAGAGACGTTCCCTGTCATTGGATGGGCCTGGGAAAAAGTCGGGCAGGACGATCTCCTGAGCCCTATGAAAGGGGGAGTTAAACCTTCGGGACGAAGGCTGGGTCAAGGCGAAGAACCACCCTGTCCTGGTGAAAGTGACAAAGGTCATCCCTGGAAGACAGGGTGCCTAGCTCAGAAATACGTCGGGCGGATGTGATCGCCACCAGGAAGCCCACTTTCAGCGACAAGAAACGTAAGTGAACTGAGCGGAGGGGCTCAAACGGGCCCCCCGTCAAGGCCCTGAGGACCAGGGGAAGATCCCACGTGGGGAACTTGTGGATGGGGGAAGGCCTGAGATTAGCTGCCCCCTTCAGGAAAAGCGTGATCAGGGGAAACTGGGAAAGGGAAGAAGACCCCACCCCCCCAGGACCGAAGACAGAGCTGCCACTTGGCGATGCAAAGTATTCTGCGAAAGCCCGTCCTCCAGACCCTTCTGAAGGAAATCCAAGACGTTGGGAATGGTGGCNGTTTTATCTTAGTCTGATTGGTCCAAAGAGTGAGACCGAAGCTTTAAATACTGGTGCCTTCCAATCCTGGCGCAGATTCTCGAAGTTGAACGGTATAACTGAAACAACAAAAAAACAAACCCAACAAACCCCGGGAACACCCGGGCCCTCCCCTTGGCCCCAATGAACAAACTGAGGGCGGGTTGTGACCATTCCCTCCCCCACTCTGAAAATAAGACATTCAGGTAAGACCAACGTCCTTTTTCCAGAAGAGGGGGAGGAAATGGTCACGTGTGGGACATACCCAAGCTAAGGTCCCAGGGAGGGAGAACAAGAACCACTAGGGCCCAAGGGGAGCCTCAGCCACCACCCCCTACAAGACTCTCTGACCGAAGGCCGCGTCCGCAGACGCGAAAGCATCCAGACAATAGTGCCGGATGAAGGACGTCGGGGAAGCCCAAGTGGCCGCATGACAGATGTCCTCAAATGGGGCCCTCATGGCCTACGCCACCGTGGTCGCGGCACTCCTAGTAGAATGGGCCGTGATCCCCAACAGAGCCGGTCAACCCAAAGCCCCGTAGGCCTCCACAATGGCCTGACGCAGCCAACGGCCAATGGTAACCGAAGACACTCTCGATCCCAGCGACCCTGGCTGGAAGGAGACAAACAAGGCCTCCGACCTACGGACCTCCCCGGTCCGCCAGAGATAGATTCGCAGAGCGTGGCGGACATCCAACCGATGCCAGAGACGTTCCCTGTCATTGGATGGGCCCAGGCAAAAGTCGGGCAGGATGATCTCCTGAGCTCTATGAAAGGGGATGTTCACCTTCGGGATGAAGGCCGGGTCAAGGCGAAGGACCACCCTGTCCTGGTGAAAGTGACAAAGGTCGTCCCTGGAGGACAGGGCGCCTAACTCAAGAAATACGGCGGGTGGATGTGACCGCCACCAGGAAGGCCACTTTCAACGTCAAGAAACGTAAGTGAACTGAGCGGAGTGGCTCAAATGGACCCCCCGTCAAGGCCCTGAGGACCAGGGGAAGATCCCACGTGTGGACAGGGGGAGGCCTGAGATTAGCCGCCCCCTTCAGGAAAATCTTGACCAGGGGAAACTGGGAAAGGGAAGAAGACCGCCCCCCCAGCACCGAAGACAGAGCTGCCACCTGGCGCCGCAAGGTATTCTGCAAAAGCCCGTCCTCCAGACCCTTCTGAAGGAAATCCAAGACGTTGGGAATGGTGGCCCTATCGGGAGAAATGCCCCTAGGCGAGCACCATTGGACGAAGGCTGCCCAGGTGGAGTTATAAATGCGGGTCGGCGATGGCCACTGAGCCGCCACGATGGTATGAATGACCCGGGAGGACAGATGAGCCTCCCTCAGAAGCTGCCGTTCAAGAGCCAGGCGGTCAGATGAAGCCACTGGGGCTCCGGGTGTACCAGAGCCCCCTGCAGCAAGACCACCTCCCCCTGTGGAATCCTCCACGGGGGTGGGCCACCAACAGCTGTACCAGATCCGCGAACCAGGGCCTCCTGGGCCAATACGGGGCCACTAGAATGACCAGGGCCCCCTCCGTCACCACCTTCCTGACAGTCCCCGGGATGAGGGGAATGGGAGGGAAAGCATAAAGAAGGCCCGGGGGCCACCGGCTCCTGAGGGCGTCTGTGCCCTCCACCGACCTGGGCTGGAAACGGGTGAAAAACCGTGGAAGCTGGGAGTTCGCGGGCGACGCAAACAGGCCTACCAGAGGAGACTCGAACCTTTGGCAGATCCTCCGGAACAGCGACGGGTGGAGTTGCCACTCACTGTTGTCCAGAGTCACTCGACTGAGCCAATC